TATTTAAAAAAGGAAAAACTCAGTTCTTATGTAGGGAATTTTCTCAATAGACAGTTAATCAAGCACTGTTTGATAGAAGGTCCACACTGTTCAAGATAAGTGTCTTGGCTCTGACCTCCCCAAACGTATACCCATACTGTACATTAAAGGCCAACAGCAAAGCAGCTTCTTACACAGCCACAGTTTGCCGTACACATGCATCTTTCTGTCCCTTATCTGTCAGAGTCATAAAGTATGTTGGTTTGTTTTTAGTTGAATTAAGAATTCATTCCAATTTTCTGTGAGTTTGCAAATTTGTATTTGTCAGTAGTGAGTGTGAGAAGACAGGTTGGGATCTTACACAACTGAATCTGTTAATATTCACTTCTGTTGTCATGTAAACAAACCACAGAGCTATCAGCTGTGTGCTGGAGATCAGACTGGAGACCAGTGTCACTCAGGTAATAGCTGGGTGACTGCTTGCTACGTTTTTACCTTTTTAACAGAAAACACACTTGATATTGTAATATTCTTGGAAATGACAAAAAATCTAGCCAACAGCAGGTAGGTTTTACCAGCCAGGGACAACCTAATGAAATATGCTATTGAGTTGCATTATGGGAAATGTAGTGTCCAGTGTTTTTAGAGCTTAAGGATATTTCATTCTCTCTTTTTATTATTTTTACCATTTTTTTTCTTTCTTTCTTTCTTTTTTTTTTTTTAAATCTGTCTCGCATGTCCCCCAACTTTAAGGATGTTCAATACTCAATTGCTGGAGCAACCCTTTAATGTAAGCAGCAAAGGTTCCTTTTAAAAGCTGTAACTAGTAAAAGCTCAGTAGTTTAGTAGTAATAGTAGTTAGTTTCATAAATGACCTCAATGATTGCCCAGTAATAATTACTACCAGGAGTTAACTGCTAACTATGCTTTCTTCTCTGCAGGTGCTGACGTTAATGCTGCTACTGTAGACGGCGAAACGGTTGAGTCCTCGTTGGTGTTTCTGGTTAAGGAGGCCCTGGAGGCCAGCGCGGAGGACGCCGCTGAGATCGGTAACTTCTGCCTGAAAACCACACGGCTGCTGCTGGCTCACGGTGTGGACCCCAGCTGCTGTCTGAACGAGGATGGCGAGCCGTCCCTCACACAGACCAGCCTGGAGCACTTTGACCTGCTCTTCCCTCTGGCGGTGCTCTTAATCCAGAGCAGAGCCTCTTTGGTTTGCTCCTACCACGGCGGCTCCTGTTGGTCAGGTTACAGCCTCCTCTTCCAGCGGCTGCAGGCGGCCCTGCGGCAGTGCTCCGATCAAAGTCACGCCTCCGAGCTGCTGGAGCAGGCCGAGGTGCTTCTCGACTTAGCGAGAGTAGACAGCCCCACACTGCATCTGCTTCCCACGCTGGAGCTCCCTGTGCCCAGTCAGGAACCTCACCCCTATGCCCAGGCTCTGCTAGACCTGCACAACCACGTAGTAGAGCACGAAGCAAGCCCCCCTGCTCTGCGATTCCTTTGTAGGGCATTCATAAGGAGCCACCTACAGCCTTTGCCCCTGGAAGACAGAGTCAGAGCCTTACCATTACCAGACAGACTGAAAGACTTTCTTCTTCCTGAGCAAACATATACCCCGAAGCCTGGTTGGGACTGCTTCAAGCCCCAACATAGCCAGCACTGATGATATAAGCTACTTGCCTATATGAAAAGCCCATAAATGAACATGAACCTAACAAACCACTGAGGTCTTTGTTGAATTCTTATTTTGTGACGTCTGTGCCAAATTTACAGACTAATGTGTGTATGTTTACTTTAAGGTGATGTCTGTACAAATTAGCCTTTGAGTTATAACTAAGGTTTCACTGTTATGGTTACGGCTGCTGTAGGAAGTTGCAATACAAATTAAAAGCCACCAGATGGCAGTGTTGCTCCTGTATATCAAATGCAGCTCAGATGTCAGGGTCAATGATTTAGTTATTCACAGTGCAGCCTATTACAGCTGTTCCAGCGCAGTAGGCTCCATCTATATTTTATCTCCTCAACGTGATGATGGTGTATTGTGGAAGTTGTGTATCTTCTTGCTTAACATGAAGGTGGACCAATAAAACAGATGTGTACCTCATCAACAGTGTCCTCCTAGCCTGTTAATAGCTTAGTAACAGCAGTTTGGTATTATTTTATGTTTGAGAGCATATTACTGCTTGCGACTGACCAGGCAGTGGCAGTGTAGCGCTGAATATGGTTGGTAAACTCACTGGCTACCTGTTATAGGGGAATAATCGCTGCTATATATATATTTACCTTGTGGTTGTGTTCATACAGCAAACATCAGTGAGTGAATGCTAAAATAAAGAAGCAGGAATAAAATGCTTCAGCGCGACAGGCTGAGTGTGCCTGTAGATGTTTGGATACGGTTTTACTGTGACATAGCTGCATTGGCTGCTGGCGTGGAAAGTTTTACCAAGCATTCTTAATGCTTATGTTTAAATTCAGATGAATTTAGGGCCCCTTTCCTCCTCATTCGCTCCCTCGCGTGCACAAAACCCATTCACTGAACATCCCCGTCTTTGGTAATAAACAAACAGCGCCTTAAAGAAATGTACTGTGATGATACGGGAACACCATAGGGTATATACTGTATGTGTTTTGCGTCCATGTGTGTGTGACGAGCAAACTAAATAGGACATTGTGTTACACAACTAACCCCTTCCTGACATTGCTGAAGCTGGAGTGGCTCCAAGGCTTGCAAGCGCTCCAGCTCCTCTTGGTTATCTAGGTCACAGCCTCTGAGGAGAAGAGCCTTAGCAGCAGCAGCAGCAGCCCTGCATGACACACGCTTCACTCTCCTGTCTGTCTGAATCTCTTGACAAACCTCAACGCTGGCCTTGGTCGGGGAGGGGGGAGGGGGGTTTGCAGGAGGCAGAGCAGTCAGAGGAAAAAAAAGTTACAGAGACCGTATAGGTGGAATGGTTGTGGGAGCACTCATGGAGGACACATGGAAATGGAAATGGCAACGTTGGATTAGATTTATACAAAGCAATAGCTGTAGGAACATAATCCACCCAACCAACAATCACAACGCTGGGAGAAAAAAAACAGCCTTCTTCCATGGAGTCCAATCAGTGCTTGTGGAAAGTGATAGAATAGAGATAGTGGGGGAGGGCTAAGCCAGTACTCTCCATCCAGCCTTTATTGGAAAACTGTGCGAGTGAAGCTCGGTACTGAAATTAGTTATTGATCTATTCTCTCCCTGAAGCCCATGGGTCTTTCCCACCACACCTGCTCATTCTCTCACAGCCTTTTCTTTCACCGCTCACCCATTGTATCTCAACCGTTGCTTCGAGCTTCTGCGTGTTTTTGCTTGTTTTGAAGTTCTTTTATTTCCTTCAAATTGGCTTTTCCATGCGGGGAAGTTATTCCAAAATAAGATCCTGATAGAAATACATGATTTCAAGCAGGAAGTTTGATATTTGAAAAAGTTAAAGGCAGCAAACAGCTCAAGACTTGACAAAACGCTTTTAGATGATTTACAGTCCACAAAGTAATTACCATAATTAAAAAATGGGCCTTTAGCATTTTAAAATGAAAATCTTAAATGACATGCAGGAATCTTATGCTGCCCTCTTTCTTTAAAATCATTTCTTTCAGTCTGTGGTTATTTCTTTAAATAATCTTTTTCCATACCAACCAGTAATTGTCATTTCTGAATCATCAGTCTGATCTTTTCAGTTTTCAACTGCTCATCTTCAGCACTACAGACTAAAAGATATGAAAGCTTGATTCATGTTATACTTGGAAAGAGCAAAATGCAGTACAGGGACATTTAATAACACTCATTGAGTGGATGTTTTGAAGGATAAACCTACAGAAATTTTATTTCATTCTATTGACTCAAACTAGAACTCAATTTACTGATATGGAGGTACTAGACTCTTGAGCAAGATAAAAAGTGAACTACTGCAGTGTCCATACATATGTTGCCTGCCTGTGAGCCATGTGCATAAAACCTGGAGAAGACATCCGATTTTTAGGGCCAGAGTAGCGACTGCTGTGAGGACCCTATTGAAATGCAAGCAATTCTTTTTCTTCCAAAAGGAGCATCATCTTAGGCAGCCGCAGCATCAAAAGCTCATGAAAACAATGGTCACAAAATGCCTTAACCATGCCTCCCAAAATCAGCCCCCAAGACACAAATAACCTAACATGTATGAAAATTAGTACACACATGTATCATGACTAGACAAGCAAAGAAGCCTCTTGGACCCATACGACTATCGAGTCAACTATGTTGAATTTTTCACGTTGTATCTTAACGAACTCCTCCTAGAGAATCGATCTGATCGACTTTAAATTTGGTCTGTGCACTGTAAAGACCATCATGATTAAAAGTTATGCTCTTAGTGACTGCGTGTCGAACATGGTGTACGTGGTGTGGCCTCGAATTACAACACCGGTTGAAATACCATGAAACAGGAAGTTGTTGTAACTTCAGTGTACATTATCCCATCTGCATCATCACATGTTTGATAAGAGTCCTGCCCTGAACACATCTACATACCAAAATTCAGTCACACACATAGCGCCACCTAATGGTAACAGGAAGTAAGCCTTGTGGGGCGAATTATAATTTCAAAATAACAGGGCTGTGTATTGGCAATAATCTGGCGATACAATACATATCACAATTTTTATGCAACCACAACAGAGGAAACTGCATTTGAATTATCACTTGCTATCCAGCAGTTAAGAGTTTGAACACAAAAAATTGTGCAGTGTTTTTGGGAATCAATACAATATCACAAAATGAAATATCACGATACGATATTCTTCTCCTTTTTCATACCCCCCTTCAAAATGATGCTGGTTTTTTTCCTTCATGTTGGTGCTGGTTGGCTGAGTTCCTAGTCTGGCTCTAACCTTTTCATTTACCACCACGTCACCAACTGAAAGACATTGTGGTCTATTCCAGGCCTTTTCTTCTATAGAGCGCAGCCTGAGCAGAATGTGCATCTCCTTGTCTTTCACTAGACATTGTCTAGACACGGGATAATTGCAGACATCACTGAACACTCAGCTGCTGCCTGAACCCTCATGGGAGTTGAGGTGGACTTGTCCAGCAGTCAGTGAGGGGCTCACACTCACACCTCTTTTAGATTGCGTGTGTGTGTGTCTTTGCCTATACGTCCGTGTTACTGTATGCGTTTGCTTTGCTGCTGTGAAGGCAAGCGTGGATTCGAATGTGTGTGTGGGGGGTGGGAGTAGAGAAAGAAAGCACGAAAGAGAACGCAGACATTGAAACACACAGTGTTCATAACCGCAGATGTGGTGACTTCATCAGAAAAAAATGTACCCCGTCCTACTGCTCTGCTCGTGTTGATGGAGCTCTCCAAAATTAATGGCTGTTAATGCTAAGATGAATAAAAGCAAATTCTCTCTAGATATCAGCATGTTCTGCTCTCCTGCTGGCTTCCATAGGGCATATTTTATCTCCTATAAGATTATTGTTGTTTGGCTTAGACACTTTTCAGTGTGGAGCTTTGGCTGGGTGTGGGGATGTGTGTGTGTGTGCTGTGTGTGTGCTGTGGGGGGTTTTGGTTCATCTCTGAGAGATGGCCGCAGGTCGCAGGGTTCACCCAGGGCACAGGACTAATCTCAGTGGGGGTGGATTGGATGCAGGATAACTGAATCCTGTTGGGGCAGGCCACCTTCTCAGTCTGCTCCAGGTGTTGGTTCCTCCTTTTGGATTGACACATACTGACTGTTGTGCTTTACTTCACTTAATGTTGTAGGATTATACTGAAGGATTTTTGTATGTTTTCTGTTTGCTAGATGTTCAGTGAGGGACAAATGTGTCAATATTTAAATTCAGTACTTGTTGGAAAATGGAGAAAGATTGTGTTTTTTCACAATTCCCCCACTTTTTTGTCCACTTTTATACTATTTTATACATTTTTTGGATGCTATTTTGCTACGATGCAACTCCATAAAGTGTATAATACTAGAACGCCTGCAGTTTTTTTGTTAAGTTTAGGTGTCACTGTTTTTCAGATCTCTATGGGAAGGAAATAGCTCAGACAAGTAAGGTAACCATACTGCTGCATACTCGTGTTAACACAAATCTGCTCTTGTTCTTTGAGGGGGAATCATTTAAAAGTGTAGCACACCAGAAAGTTCCAGTTCCGTACTCCAACTCCTATTTTAGAAGCACACAAATCCACCACCCTCTACATTTCTACAACTGACGCCATTTCACAGAAATTCCAGACAACTGGCGCCTGAGCTCTGCCTCCAAGAAGGACATGATGAATAGGACACACCCTTGGTATGCTAGTGAATGGTAAAATATATGGCACACTGCAGTGTTACAGCCTAGATTCATTACAGCCTCTCGTCCTAGCTCTTTAGAGTGTCGTTTTCTCTGCTTTTCTCCCCCTGCGTTTCATGCCGCTCGCCTATTTTTAAAAGCTTGAATTTGAGTGAAATGCACTGAGGCACCAGTAAGGCGAGCTACAGCTCTTTCCAGCGCTGGTTCCTGATCCACCTCTTTGTTGTGGTCTATGCATGCCTGCTCTAGTCACATGACTGCGTTTCTATGGCAACTCGGGTTTGAGTAATCATTTGCGTTACGACCTTTATTCCCTTGAGGAAAGGGGAGGGGGAGGTTAGACTGAGCCTGTAGAAAGAGGGAGCAAGAGGAAAGAGAAAAGACAGGCAGAAGGGGAGCGGCGGAGAAGCACAGGGAAAGAAAATAGGCGAAAAACAACGGCAGTAGAGGGGAAATTCTGCCCTTTTTTGCCTTTATATTTTGTGTTTTCTCTTTTTTCTCTTCATTTTGCATGCTAACCTGTACCTCTTTTGTCTTCAATAGCTGGAAAAAGCAGACAAAAGCCTGCCACTAAACACTGGGTTGTGTGCTTGAGTTTCACCATAATGTCTTTTGTGCTGTGACTCACTCTGAATAGGACAGGCGAGTGAGTTGGTTGGAGAGGCAGCAGGCATGTATGTTTCATAAGGGCCTCACACACACACACACACACACACACACACACCTCCCCTTCATTTCTTCTCGGAGGAAAAGCAGTACTGTGCCACATGTGCAAGTCTCAGCAGAAACAGATTCTGT